CACTGTAGAAAGTACAGGAAAGAAATACTGACCAAATACGGCAAAATCTCCACATACGACAAAATAAAAATACTGATATAGACGAACATCAAGAAAAAAAATAATTGCGGTAAAAAAAAAAAAGAGGAATTAAGAGCAAAATCAATGGATGTAGTTCCCTGTACTCACAAATATGATACACATGAAAATCTATAAATACTGCTTATTATATATATATATATATATATATATATATATATATGAGTTGGATAAGCTAAAAGAAAGATTGAGAAAAAAACTTAAATCCTTTATCTTCGTCCTTCCGCTAAATCCTTCTTATTTTTGAAACTCTTTTCGTAGTTCTCTTCCTTTTTTTTTTTTTCTATATTCGCTTCTTTTTGACACTTCAGCTCTTTTTTTTCAATTGTCTTCCCTCTGGAACCTATTACATACAACAGAGTTAACAACTTAAACACTGGAATAGACAGCGAAACCAAAGTAACAACAGCTCATACATGTTAAATGCAAAATCTATTTGTTTTCCTTTGATTTTTTTACTACATGTTCGATAGTTGGCATAAAGCCAAATATCGGATTCATAAATTCATTGACACTCAGTGGCTATGGACTGATCGCGCACACGTCGCATATATAGAAATGAGGACTGCGGCTAAAGATTGTCGCTGTCATCGCTGAAAGCGCTGCGTCTCTATCTGTCACAGCGACCACCGCGCACCCGGTAGGTTTCGGTCCCTTGTTGATTGTGCGGTTATGCAGGCAGTTGTAGTAGGGTAGTGTTTGGTGGTAACGGCGACAACTGCGGTGATGATAATGGCGGTGGTTCATAGTGAACTGAACTTTTACTGTTGTCTATAACTTGATAGTTAGTCTCATTTTTTTATGCTTGTTTTGGTATGTTTTATTCCTGCCGAACAGTTGTTTTATGGTCGTCGTTTCTTTTATTTATTTATTTATTTATTTATTTTTTTTTTTGGTGCATTATTAAGTATGTTAGTCGTTTACAAACACCCGAAGAATTAGCAATTAAAAAAGAGTAAAAAAAGTTAATGATATTTACAAGTGTTTTTCAGTCGAATAAAATGTGTTGTTCGACAGCTCCTGACGTAAACATCGTCACTTATCTGTTGCTAAAATTTCGTTTTTAACAATGCTATGCTACCGTTTACAGAAATCTGATTTTGTTTATTTGGTTTGTAGCAAACGGCGGACGTTTAGAAAAGTTTAAACGAAAGTATATGTTCTGTTATCGGAGTGATAATTAGTGGCAGTTAGTAACAAATAGTTCAAAATCTTAGTTTTTTTTTTTTGTTTTTGAATGCCAAATTGTGTTACCGAAAACATGATTATTTTTAGTTCTAAAATATGTACATTTTTTTCCAAATGATTTGTGGCCGTGTAATATCATTTGTATCATATAATTTATATTTTTCTCTACATTAATTGAAGTATTTAGATGAACTCGGAAACTCAGAAGGAGTTGATATTAGATTTTTTTTTGCTATTGTAAGGCACAATGAAGAGTGCAAAAGTCTCAAACAATTAGAATGTTCATTAACTCCTCCCTCGATATTGGACCACCTATGAGGTCCAGTTTTTGCAGCGACAAAAAAATTTTTTCCTTCGTTAGTCATTCCATGAAGTTCTATGAAATGTTTGGTCGCTAACTGGCAGATTAATACTTTTAAAAAAACTTGTAAATTTGCAGTTGTTGCTTCAAAATTTATCAGATGTTTCTGAGCGAAAAACTTCCCGGTACCAGTTAACAACTGAAGTCCTCATCCGAGAAAAAAGTGCTTTTTAATGATAATTTTGTTAATTTTCACTTAAAATAACACAGTTAACATCGTTTTATTTTTGTAACTGTAACGGTACATGAGAAAAAGAAAAATTAGAATCACTGGTTAAAAAATAGGGTATATGAAATTGGCTGAAACGATTTCTTAGCACCTCACTGTACTTGAGTTTTCTGTACCAAGAATAACGCGAGCGTATTCCAGTTAGTAATGAAATTTGGTATATGTGTTTACTATACATTTAGTTCATACCATCAGTATGGTCATCGAAGACACGTATAGAAAATTAAATTACAAAAATGTAACGTAGGAAGAATATTACTTTTAAAAAAATATTATTAATATATTTGATGATATTTAGAATTTTGAAGTTAATGAGGGGAAAAAAGTTTGAAAATAATACAGTGAACAGCAGGAATCACAAATGTTGAAAATAGAAGCTCCCTTGATTTAGATTTTTTTAATAGCCCGCTGTAAAAGAACTGCAACACGAGCTTTTTGTCAATAAATTACGAATTGCTGACACTCTTATCAATTTTAAAGCTACTGTCTACAGCGAAACACTGCTCATCGGTGTTTCTTTAATATCGATGTATCAAAATGAATAAAAATATAGAAGCTTCAATGATGCAGTAATTGATGAACTGGAGCCGTCTGACACTTTCTAAAGCCATCGAGTTCTTCATAATAAATTTTTTAAAAACAAATTTCATTTCAACAGTTTGGAAAAAAATACCCCTGCTTTTTTCAAAGTAAACGTCAGATAAAAAAATTAAAAAGCTTTTAAAGATCTATGTCTTCATATAGATTTGTACACATTCAGAATGGCAATCAGGAACGGTGCTGAAAACACCCTAAATCATCTCCCTTGCAGAACTCAAATTTAAACCTAATTTTCTTCCGCAGAACGACTTGCAAAATAGTAATATGTATGTGGGCCATTCCACGTCAAATCGCAGACTTTTTTCCCTTCATATCTCAGATTTTCTTTAAATTTTG